AACACACACACACACACACACACACACACACACTGAACAAAACCGCAGTCTCTAATTCTGGTGCAGATAAGTGATGATGATGATACAAATAGATGAGGAAGAATAGGTGAAGAGGTCAGGCGATGAAGAATCCCGAAGAGGAAAAGGGTGGAGTTTTAGTGTCCGTTGCCACAGATGTGATTAGGACCCCCTGGAGGGAGAGCTGGCTGAAAGATGCCCTCTGCATCAGCAGCCTAACAGCCAGCACTCAATACAAAATATGGTGACACAGGAGAAATAGGAGTCCATGCATGGACTCAGCTGCTCCCAGATTGCCTAGCTCAGCAGATTTCCAGGTGAATGTGATAGCAGTAGAATGCCCCTGCAAAGCACTTAAACGCACCGAACGGAAAATAACTGAAACAAGGTTTGTATACTACAAATAACAGAATCAAAATCCTTTATTTATCCTGTGGGAAATAGGATTTTCAGACATTTGCTCCATTTTAGAATACATACAATTATAGATTTAAAAAAAAGCATTCGTGTAAACATAATCATTTGCAATAAAAGATCAAATAAAATAAAGATTTTTATATAAAAATAGACATGGGATAATAAAAATCTACAGCACCATAATAAGCCTGGCTATAATTGTGATATAATGCAGGCTGATCTCCATGGTTACCATACCACCGCAGAGATGTGTAGGGAGTGGTCCTACAGCCAATAAGAACGGGGGATTTGTTGTGCTGCTAGGCAGATTATCCTACCACTGTCAGGGGGCTCTTCCCTGATGTGCTGAAGGCTAAATGCTAGCTGGATTAATTGATAGGTCAATAATATGAAACCTGTGTTTAATTTGCCCTGATGAAAGGTTTAGGAGGAAGAGCCTCTCGCAGTCAGATATGCTGATGTGGCAGTGGCTTTCCAGCTGTGCCTCTCATGATTATTCATCTTCTTTTTGGAGCTCATTCCCAGCTCTTTCTTCCTCACACTGCTCTGTTCTGCTGCCCCCGTCCCAGCCCCCGATCCCACCTCTCAGCATCAGACGTCTCACAAGCGCGCTCACATGGCTGCTTCCCATCAGGAACGGGTCTCATGACAAGCAGCTGCTTACCTCAGCCTGGGATCCTTTCACAGCCTCAGAGCTACACGCCCTCTCTGCTGGGACATTATAAATGCAGCTTAAATTAAGATTAATGTACGTGCTATTTCTCAGACTGGTCAAAATGTGTCCAGATGTCTCCAAAAGCCAGAAATGTAATATGAATAAAACGCTGTAATGCCATCAAGTGATGATGTGCTGCAGCCTTAGTGATGTTTTTAGGTTATGTAAAATACTAAATGTCCCAAACCCTGCAGCCTAGCATGGTTCTAAATTGTTGTTATGAATATGTTATGATGTTTTTTTGACCATCTCTCAGCTGGGGATTTCCCTAATCCATGCTCCATAATTTGCATGGCTGCCCCATGTAATTCCCCGTCAGACCAGCCTTAAAACAAGTCGGTCTCTGCAAAACATGGAGGTTAAATTAAGATACATGGGGCTGAACTCTTGTCATGTAGAGTTAACTACAGGTCAGGATCTTCTGCCACGAGATGTGTCCTTTAGGAAGGAAATCTGACAGACAACCTCACACCAGCCCCTGCAAATATCAATGTGGCCAATTTATCATATTCCAGGCAGGGTGATGGCATTTTATCTATGACAGCCACGCCATCAGCCTGCCTGGGTCGGTGTCAAGAGCCTGAAGTGGGAAGTCTCAAAGTGTCAGAGGGGATAATAGGACTGTCCCACTGCGTCCAACAGGGTCTGACAGGCCTGTCTCACTAACCTGCTTTCCAGGCAGCTCTATATTCACTGTCACCCCCCCTAACTTGTTATAATAGAAGTCAATTTGAAGATTAGGTACTGGCATGACTAGCTATTTTGACTCGGGCACAGAAGACAGCATATTCCATGTGTATAAGCATAGAATAGAAAAACCCCAATGATTACTTTAGGTTAATATTAAGCTGTTTTTGGCTCTTTTCTTGCTGTAACAAATGCAAATGTACCCTCTGTGGGACGAATATAGGTATTCTGATTCTGATTAATGCATATTCAAGCTTGTTTGTCTAGTAGCTCCTCTGATATAACTTCCTGGGAGGAAGTGAGTTAGCAAACAAGCTCTAACTGCTACCTAGTTGAATTAGTTTACAAAAATGTGACACCTTTAGTATGACACAAATGTATTTAACTTGATACAAGCTAAATAACTTGGAAGACAAACTTGTGTCCCCCTGCAGGACTGTGAGAGGTTGTTAGGTTACAGTGTGAAGCTAACAGCTAAGTTAGCCACCCATGTACATACAGTAAACTCCCCTGAGCAGCAGTCTTCTTGCTCTGACAGACCAACAAAACTGAGCCGAAATGTCAAACCAGTTCACGGATACTCACCGACACACAGGGGCTGCTGGAGGTGGTGCTCGGTGTGGGAGACCGCTGCACGGTGACCAGCGCCATGCCGGCAGCTGCTGCTCAGACCTCAGTCACCTCGGAGGGAGAAACACCGGGATACGAGACATTATTTCGGGCAGGAACTACAGTATGCCGAGCCCCCGATGCTATTTCTCTGCTCGTTGCTTAGTTTCCCCTCTAGCGTCAAGCTGAGCACAGTCGTTACACATTTCCTGTATTTTTTTCAAAATAAAAGCGTGTGTTTATTTTGAGGGTTAATGTCTATGTATTTACCATCGTTATATATAAACATATTTAAATGGTACAGAAGCAGAGAAAGTAAGACATTTTAAACTTGTAAATTATTACATGTAAATAGAAGGACTTTGCATGAATTATCTTTCTTAATTCCTTTTTTAATCATCCGTGAAACAAGTGAGAATAAGTACAATTAATTTTTTTGCTGAATAGCACAAATAAAATACATCTATTACACAAATAAATGCATGTAGTAGGTTACTTTGTGTTTAGAGTTATTAGGAATTATAGCTCAACTGGATTTAAGTGTCCCCCTGGACACAGGAGAGAGCCTCTTTTAGATTATAATTTTCCGATTTTCTTTCAAGTGTTTCTGTATCATGGCGTTTGTAATTCTAAATCGTTGGTATTATTTTATGTTGTTCAATTTCCAGGCATCAAGTCAATGACCTATGTGTCCTTTAAAGTGGACAATTCAACACTTTTATTTCGACAGAGATACATCCTGTAGCAGTTCTCTTTGGTTTAGCTTCACACTAAAGGCTGCCTTGTCGTTTCTTTCGCGCACGCGCAATGGGGACCAGCTGTCAAACGTGTTTGCTGGCACTCCCATTCATGCAAAGTTATCAGTTAAACTGACAAAATACAGATCAAAACAGTGTGTGTGTGTGTGTGTGTGTGTGTGTGTGTGTGTGTGTGTGTGTGTGTGTGTGTGTGTGTGTGTGTGTGTGTTGTATTAGCTGACCATATAGCACCATGAATAATGTATTAAGAGTGTTTATTTCTGTATACCCTGGAGGTTTTATCCAGGGAATGGCGCAGGAGAGGACCTGACCTTACATCTCTGTGCTCCTTGTTTTTCTGTTACCCACCCCTCTTGGGAAATGAGATGTGGGGGTCGGGGTGTGAACTGTGAAGGCAGGGGGAGGTGTGTGGAGCATGATTGTGAAAGTCAAAAAAGGTTGATGAGGTGAGCTACAGCACCTCAACGAAGCCCATCTCTCTAGGAACCTTGAAAATCTTGATTTAGAGTGTTATTGGAAAGACAGCAAATACCTCTCCCCTGACTCTTCATGGTCACTGGCTGCATTTAATTAGTAGAGGAAATATTGGTGAGAGTGTTGGTCACAGAGAGGAAGGTGAGGATGGGGTGTGAAGCTGGGAGGCTCATTTTGATTCCCTTCATTGCATTATCTGGGTCATTGCCTCCTCCTCCTCTTCCTGTCCTTCTGGTTATTTCCCCTCCTCCATCGTTTCCCTTATTTTCCTTTTTATTGATCATCTAATAAGCTTGTGTTAAAAAAGAAAATGAGAGGGAGCGAGACAAAATAAATCTGATTAGGAGGTACAGGTGGTGTAGAGAATACAAAGCAGTAATTGCATTGCACTTGAACGTGGAGAGGATGTAAGGGTGTGAGATGGAGTGAGGACAGCCTGATAAGATACGAAAACAAATACAGAAAGCACATGATATAAATGATTGCAAATAAAAGAGTGACAGGATGATTGATGACCACAGCCCCCTCCTCCTTATCCATTCATACAGTTTGGGTGAAGCTGATGAGGCCATGCTGCATGTATGTGAGCGACCAGCTGTGCATATTAATCTACCTCTATTTGTTTTTTCTAATGAAAGGGTCATACCCCGGTTCGACTAAAGCGGAAAACAAACGGTGTACTGTATTTGTCTCAGTGTGGACAACATGTCAGCAGGATAGAGCTCACATGGTCGATAACACCTTTTCCAAACCACATTTATAAGAACAAGGTGGATGATAAAAGAGTCGCTGAAGAGAGTCACAGAGAGGGTGGAGGAGCAAGAGAGAAAAAATAGATCCTCTGTACACAGGTAACCACGACAGGCAGGAAGAGACTGTGAAAGTAAGTGTGTGTAGGAGCAAACAAGATTAGGATTAGAGTAGTAGAGGATGATACTTCAGGGATTTAGTGTCAAGACAGAGACAGTGGGAATTAAGACAATCCTCCTTGTAATTAAAGCTCTGCTATCCACCAGAGATCACAGCCACAGTGTGTGTGTGTGTGTGTGTGTGTGTGTGTGTGTGTGTGTGTGTGTGTGTGTGTGTGTGTGTGTGTGTGTGTGTGTGTGATTTAGAAAGGTTGATTAAATGGTTGTGTACATATAGAGCAGGCCTATTTAATTGGCAGTATGTGGGCCAGATCAAGCCAATTAAAAAAAGGGAAACAAATAGATCCTTTCTTTCTATAAGAGACTATGACAAAATAAAAAAAGCTATTGCTGTTTATCAACGTAACTATTGACCCAAGCAACGCTAAAATCAGTTTGCACTAGTGAAGAATATAACTGTAGATGCCACCAAAAGACATACAGGAGATACGGCTAGATAGCTACTCATTTCATGATTGTCTTCGTTTTGTTACATTCAAATGATATATTAAACGGTGAGACAAAGGAAAAAGCCTGGCCCTTCAATTTTGTTTAACCTTCTTAAAAACGTTATTAAATAGGTTATTGTGTGTGGAGACTAAAATAATAAGCAATAGATATGTGACATTGTTTTCCTATAGCTCACCCCCTACAGTTACAAATTGGTCATGTTCAAATAAATGCACAATGAAGCAAAATAGGTTTATTAATGATTCTCTCACATGCTTCACTATTCAGTTATACACATTTCCCCCTCACATCAGTCTTGTTTTGCCAAAAACACCAGATGCATGTCTATAAATGATGATGTCATAGCTTTAATCCCCCACCCCCTTGAATCTCAGCCCACGCCCTGAGCCCCTCTCTCTCCTCTCTGTGTAGACCTCCAGTCCCCCCAGTGGTCATCTTTGGTCAACACAGACTGCTCTGATTCTAATGACATGATACTGCTTCAAACCAACAGGGGGGGATGTGACCCCATTAAAGATCAGCCTACACTGGAGAACAATGCTCTCAAAGGCAGATGAAATAATCAAATACTGGTCTTTATAACCCATTACATGTTTAAATGTTATTTATTTTTGATTGTATTTAAATCATATATGTTACACATTTTTTTCTGGCTCTTTGATGCTTTTACAGCTTTAGCTTTTCTAATAAATCATAGTTGAGGAGAGGTATTCACATAGTTGTAAGGTTCAGGCGAGGGGTGAGAACCAGAGGGGCGTAAGTGACATTTGACCAACTTTACAGGAGAGCCAAAACAAAAAATGACCATACTTTGTCCTGACTTTGTTTATTAAATTCAATCTTTAATATGAAAACTTCATAAACATGTGGATGACAATATACTTAATGAACAATATTTTGACTTTCATTGAAAAAAATATTCTTCTATTTTTTTTTATTCGGAATAAAGTCACATGCGCCTTTTTGGAACTAAGATTTTATCTCATATGATCTAAGAAAAAGGGCGTATCTGATAAAAATAGGAAAAAGGCTTTACATTAATGAGTTCAAAAGTAACAGTAATCAATTGTTATAATAACAGTATTATATGAAAATATCCTTATATCATATTAGTTAATTGAATGTAATTATTAAAAAAAAAACATTAATAACCATTTTGCCAAATAGTTAATTATTTAGCCATTTCCCCAAATAACCAATTGAAAATAGGCGACAGAGTCCATTGTGATCATATAAAATATCAATATCACATTAGTTCACTGAATAACAATAACTTGGAAATATGTCAGTCGGATTATGTGGAGGGTGGATCCATGCTGAATCGCTCCCACTCTGATGTGTTACATTTCTGTCATGATTCTGGGATGCAAGTGGAATCAACATACATGGATCTGTGTCTATTCGTCGATTCAGCTGGTATCTAAGGCATAGCTTTGCAGCGGCTATGAGCAATTGTTTTGTTTTCATTATCCATCTGAGCCCTTTTCATTTGGCCTTTTTTTATGTTTGTAATTCTTGGTGCCCCACATTTATATCTTCGGGGAACTCGGGTGGGGAAAATATAAACAAGTTAGAGATACGTAAAAAATGCCAAAAGATTTAAGAGACAACGTTTTATTTAATTATATTTATTTCAAATGTACATATAAATGTGTGCAATATATATAATATCTACAGGTATGCATTTTCTCTGAAATGAATTAAAAGAACCGGCCTATGAAATTCTATGAGGATATATCAATATCAGGCAGGGTCCTGGTGTTGTTCTCTCTGGTTTGTTTGGATGATGTGTGGAATGGTGTGCACCCTCCCGCTCTGCAGCTCTCTCCGTGAGGTCGTTCATTTCATGTCCCTTTTGTCTCATGCTGCCTTCTCGCGAAGAAGTCGAAATTCAACACTTCCCCCTCTAAGAAGAAAAACCGGGAAATGACCCTTTAAGTCTGAATATAACTTTGGGAAACTTACAACTATGGTTTATCATCCACCCCAAATCCACATCGGTGTACTCTAAAAGTGAATAATTTTAAAATGGCTCTAATAATTAATATTCTTCTTTTTTCTTTTATCTTTTTCTTTCTCTTTTTTTAAATTTTTTTCGGTAAAAATTTTATAACGAAAAGAAAAAGTGTTGAGGCATTTCTGGTCACAACTGACCTTAAAATTACAAACGAAAATCCATGTCCACTGTTAAGGAAAAACTTTTGCGGTAGTCACACGCGCCTGCTAACCATGCGTAACCTTATTGACATCAGGGTATTAGGCAAAAAGAAAATGCAGCAGTTGAATGCAGAAGCATTCAAATGAAAATTATGTAGAAACTATATTTTTACCATCTTGCCATAATCTTAAAACATTCCCCTCATCTCGGTACGCGAACTTTGATGGAGAGTGGGTTTGGACGATGCAAAAATCTGTCTGTTAATACCGTATTGGTGTGTTGCCTGTGTATCACTTACTGATAGTTTCAAGGGAGTGGAAGAAAACCACTGCAGGCAACCGACCAGACCGTCCAGAACCTCACACTGTGACACACAGTAGCAGACA